TTAAAGGAAAAAAAAAAGTAGTAAAAATTAAATGTCAGAGAGAAAAAAAAATTAAATTTAAAACATTAACAAGTAGGCCTATATGTATTAAAATAAAATCACAACAGCCATACATCCACACATAGCAAAAAAGTATTTTTCTTTGAACATGGGAAAATGGAAATAACAATAACACTTGAGAACTAAATGATACCTAGGAACAGTACATTGAAGACTAAACAGTAAAAGAACTGACGAGGATACAAACACAGACGGCAAAAACAGAGACAGAAAAAAAAATTACACACAGCTTAGTCCAAACAAATGTTTGTCAAACCATATATTGCAAAATTTGAATAATCACAAGTATGAAACAAAAGTCCTCACAATCCACTGCAGAAAAGAGAGCCATTATTAAGAAATAATTTATATTGTAATATTCTACCCCTATCTCGAAAGTAAGCAATACAACTGAAAACACCAAATGTTCACTGACAAATTCCGGGGGTTGTAAAACAGGAAAATCAAGATCTGACGCAAAAGAAAATTTTTTAAAATCCACACAGTTGTCACTTTTAGTATCTAATGTAGTGACATCATGAGTGGTCCACGGACAGAGGAGCAGTTAACTGTCAACTATTTTACCATTAAAAATACAGCCGGCTACAAAAGAAATAATAAAACACGTAGGACACGAAGCACGTGATCTCAGAGGAGACAAAAACAAAACACTTGTGTGAACAATCAACCAAACAAATACAGAGATACACATTTAGCCGAGTGAGGCACTTCGTCCCAACAAACAAAGGAACGAAGAAAATACATATATATACGTGTAGCGCAAAACAATACACTCATACCCAACACCATTCCATTACATCACATCATTTAAATACTTTCTAACTGTACACTTATTTACAGCAGCCATACTCTCTTCATCCAATAAAAAAAATACAAGCAAGAATTATTTAATGAAGACATTCAACAGGAAAACTTACAGCTGTTCATTAACTTTCATGTATACTCATCTCACAGCAATTAGATTGACAGAGAAGTTTTGTTGATTTCACAGCTGTAGGTAGAATATTTTCAAATCTTTTGGCTAAAAGTGTTAGAGCCAAGATCTTTGCATTTAAACTATTTATGCTCCAAAAGTATTGTAAAAACTTTTGAGAAACTCCAACAACAATTTGCACTATACCCTGGCTGTTCCTGAGATTATCTGAAAGAATTAATATTGGAAACTGAGTTTTCTGTTGTCTCGGAAGAACAAATTATACAGCCAAAATGTTTATTCGTCTGTATCAAATATTTTTTAAACTGCTTTTACACAAACATGTGAAGAGGAATCCATCCACTTTATAAAGACTTAGATCACACATTCACAAAACTAAACACATGCTCCTACTCGATCCCGAGGTATCAATCTCAGCTCAGATCCGTGCTTCAGGAAGACGCTACCTGGAAAGAATAGAACCAAAGTATGAAGACGTTAGAACAACTGCATGAGAAAAAACCAACCACTAAAGAATACAGTCAAACCTGCTATAAAGGCCACCTATCCAACACAATCACCTGAACAAATGGTAACTCTCCACTTTCCTCCTTGCGTTTTTTTTTTCTTTCTATATTACAAAGACACTGTACAAGACATCCACCTGTCTAAGACAACAATTTTTCTCCTTGACAAAGGGTGGCCATCACCATCAACACAACTTAGATCATATGAGTAGGAGAGCTGCTTCGACCATTGCTTGTCGGGACCAAACTAGGCTTAGAGGGATATAACATGCTATAAGCACCCCATGCCCAGATGATTGACTGAGATACTAGGTAAAAAACACCTCTAATCTTCACCTATTAGTGTGGCAAGTGCCATAAAACTCTTACTAAAACTAAACAGATGCCATTGATGTGTCCTGCTCCATCAAAACTGTGGTGCACTCTAGCACATACATAATGAAATCTAGGCAGAACATGGAATTAAACTCACATCCAAAGTGAGCAAATGGTGAAGCGCTTTATCTCCTCACCGCAAAGGCTGGTCAGTGGGTATAAGCGATTCGGCTGAAGTCAGGTGAAGCTTTTATGAAGAGTCAGCACAACTAAGACATGTAAGCTCATTGTGTACTAATTACGGAAATCGCACAGATGACCCTGATTTGAATCCCCAAAGGGGCTTACGTGAACATGGATTGTCTTTGTCCTTTATTAGACTCTTTGTCTACACGGCTAAGTCCCTTAGGAGATAACTTTAAATTTCAAGGTCCTGTTTCAGTACTGAAAGGAGCAATATACCCCACCATACCTTGCTTGCAACTACACTATTCCAATTCGTCACATCAGACAAACTAGACGGAAACAGCAGACCACAATGGTGTGGCCATCAATTCAATATCCCTCATATTACACCACAGATGTCCCCCCCCCTCCAAAAAAAAAAGAGACAGAGACAGAGACAGAGACAGAGACAGAGACAGAGAGAGAAAGAGAGAAAGAGAGAGAGAGAGAGAGAGAAGGTAAACTATTCTGACCTGCAGTCTGTGCTGGGTTGATTCCAATTCCGTCGTTAGTGATGATAGCACTCGTTGCAACTGGGACCTTGAACTGAAAAGCAAGATGAATACATTGTGTGAGTTTGTGAAGTATATCGACATGACAAGATTTATTTAGTGCTAAGAAAAAGGAAGACACTCAGAAATGTACATATTATGTACGTCGCAAACAAAGACACACAGCAGAATCATTTCCTCTGAAGTTGGGCAGTCGGGGTTATTGAACAAAGGAATCTCGTTGAACTGCCAGGCCCGCTGTTCAACCAATTTCACGCTCGATCTAAGGGTGGTGTTATAATGAGGTTTGACTGTATTTCAAAAAATCATTGTGACCATATTCACCACTCAGCAATGAAACTTAGCACATGAAGATCCTAAGAAATTTTAAAGATACCTTGAATATAAATTTAAAAAATGATCTTTTACAAATGTGTCAAAATTACAATTTTTTAAAAATCACTTGTGAAGGCTTGGGGGGGTGAAGAACTTGGCCCTAGGACCACAGGTCGATGTTAGATTGATCAACACTACTTCTTTCTACTACTTGGCCTTGTTGATCAAGATTGCCAATTTCATAGTCACTAATCCCTTCAGCCTTCCACTAGCCTTTACTACTCTGAATCCTCTGCAAACCTTGGGTCAGCATCAGAATCATCTTATTCAGCATGAGAAAAGCCTAGGTATAATCTGTCATCGACATAAATTGTGGGACTACAAGTTTAAAATGTTGAGAGGATTGTGCCAAAATGCATTTCAGTCAATCCCCTCGAAAACTCGAAATTCTGTTGTTATCAATGGACGTCACTCAAACAATGTTCAACTGACAAAAGACAGCAGTTACTTAGTTTTTATTAATTATAGGCACTTAACACTCATATATACTGACAAGATCTTTCACTGTCTATGGTTAGGTACCCATTCACACCTGGGTGAAGTGAGGAAAATTCATGTAAAGTGCCTTTCTCAAGGACACAACCTCTGGCCTGTGGTTCGAACCCCAGAACCTGCAACTTCACGATTACAAATCTGATGATGGCCTGACTACTAGACTACCGCATCAGCTAGAACATTCTTGCATTTGATTAAGATGATTAACAAAAACTTTGAAAAAGTATGAAGTGAAGATATATTTACCTCCTCAGCGGCAAACTTGAGGACTGCAGTGAAAGGAGCCCCATCTGGTACTGACAGCCTGAACAAGAAACACAAGAAACAGTCCATAAATTTATTACTATACAGCACACTTAAAGTTAACAGCTGAATAACTGATTAAATTGTAAACGTATCAAGGCAAGTTCTTTATTTATGTTTACAAAAATTCACTGGCTATCAATCATAAAATTATTATTACTGCACTGAAATGAAATGTGTTTGTGCTTATCGAGATGATTTTTCTTTTTATTAGGTTTCAATGAAATTACAAGAACAGAAGCTAAAAAAATATATGAAAAAGCTGCATGCAATACAAGACTAGACAAAGAGAGAAATTTTCCCCTAAATTGATAGGCCTACTTGTTGTTCAATCATAATAACATAATTCAAGAAAAGCAAGTTCCTCACAAAAATACACATTGTGGGTAAACAACCTTAGTAGACAAAACCACAGTAAATTATATTACATGTACATATGTACATGATGAGTAAAATATGTGCTTGCAAGCCCTTTCTACTTTGGGAAAATATCTTTAAAAAACATGTTTTCTTCATTAACACTTAGTAGTCTCTTGTCGCAATAATGCACGAGCGAAAATTATACGCTCCAGTCCCCTGATGAAGTAGTTCTGCACCAGCCCCGAGAAGTCCATTGCAGTCATTACCCAAGCTGGGTGACAAGATGGGGTATTTTGTACTGCTGGCTGTGTGACCCCAAAGCGTTAAGTAGCCAACACTGTGGAGCAGCTGACTTTAATTGAGATCAAGAGTGTCATCAAAGACTCAAATATGTGCAAAACTTTTCACTTACACTTTGTACGGTAGTTTTGAGTCTGACGTCAGGGTAATCTTGAACGTAACCTTCGACCTGCAAACAAAACAAAAATGAGTTTTACTACGTTTCATTGGGTAGTACAGTGAATTTCTCCAAATATTAACCATCTTGTTAGACCAAACCTCCCCATCCTTTCAGAGCAAAAATTGTTTAATGTACCAAAAGAAACACATATACATGAAACTTCGTCACAATACTTACATAAGGAGGAGGGCTCTTTTCACAAACCCCAATATTTTTTCTTTATATGGCATTTATTTGTCAATCGTAGATCCCCACCTTCATAAACTCCACCAGCTGTTAAAGGACCACCCACCCCACCTCCTTCACCCCGAGACAAAGGCTTAGAATTAAATTCATTTGAATCTTCATCTCTAGCACTCTCATTGACATTGCGTTCATCACCAGTACTACTGACCACATGGTTTTGACGTAAGTTGTTCTGGCATTAAAAGCAACTGTTGCATAGTTTACATTTCTCTCCTGTACATGAACTTGGTTTAATAGCCGGCCTGCTTTTATTGAAAAAGATCCAATATTACAATAAAAAACATTCAACATTGCAGTCTTAGACTCTGAGGTCATTTTTAAAGGCCAACTCTCCCATTTGATTATATAATGTGACTCTTGGGTTGATACGTTCACTAAATTTCAAGTATCCATATGTAGAACTCTCTCTAAGTTGGGTAAACTTGCCTTCCAGTTCCCAGAAGCTTCACTTTGTGGCAGTAGGCTTAAAGATGAGGATTTCTCAACATTTTAACCTTTTTGTTGATGAGTAGATTTAGTTTATAAGTTTTGTATGTGTAAGAAGACTTAGTGACTTAGTGCTCGATCTAGATCTAGATTAGACCTAGATTATCTAGATCTAATACTTAGCTAGATGAAAGTGAGAAATCGGCCAAAAACAGGCTCCCCTTGAGACGAGAATGAAGTGAGCAAATTTTATAATTATTCAATTTTATGTAACAGAAGCGGAAAAAATATATTTAACCATAGATTTGGAATGTAAGAAATTCAGTTTCTCGACTAGATCTAGATATCTAGATCTAGATCTAGATCTAGATCTTTGGGGTGGCTGTGGGCTGTGGAGTGGGTCAGTCTGTATCCCCAACGGCTCCATCCCCAACAACCAACCTTAATATGATTTACCAAAAATTATACAATAGTTCAAATGGACAAGGGCAAGAGTTCACTATATCAGACTATATCAGACTATACCAATAATTATTCTCTCAATCGCCAGGCTCCAGGTTGTTATCTTTTTTTTTTTCATCGCCTAAATCGTCCCGGTCTCTGGGCCTGGGGGAGTCTGCTGGGTCTGTGGCCACATGAATCCATATTGACATTCATTACGTGAATACGGAGGAAAAGTAGTTTTTAGATCCACCACACTCCATCTCTTCATTATGATAGAACTAGTAAAAAGTTATAAAGTTGACAAATTTTACTTTCAGATGATCAAAATTAAACAATATTGAAAAGTACAAACTCACATGTTTCTTGTTTATGTCGCAGACACGCAATCCCGGAAATAAACCCACCCGAAGGACTTAAAATATAATCTCTTGACATTAGAGAACTCGATAGTATTCAAAATAATCTTTTTCCCGAGAAGACGCCCTTTTTCTTCGGAACTGAAAACATTCAATGTATTAACTTTCTCCGAAAAAGAAAAATAATAATAACAACAACAACAGTAATAGTAATAGTAATACTATTACTAATAAAAATAAAGAATAATAATATGTGTGTTTTGTGTGGTTGTGAGTGCATTATGGGTGTGTGTGCGTGTATGTGTGCGCGTGCACGAGCGCGCGTGTGTGTGTGTGTGTGTGTGTGTGTGTTTGCCGTCTCCTCCTCTCCCTCCTTCCTCCTCCTTCATCGTAGTTGTGGCTGTGGTCGTCCTGGTCTCATCTAGTCTTTGGTGCTGTCTTGTGAAGAAGAAGAAGAAGAAGAAGAAGAAGAAGAAGAAGAAGAAGAAGAAGAAGAACAACAACAACAACAACAACAACAACAACAACAACAACAACAATGACAACAACAACATCAACAACAACAACAACAATAACCACAACAACAATGACAACAACAACAACAGTAGCAACAGAAATATTATAACACTAGCAACAACAAAACCAGTAGACTTTTTAGTTTTACGTAGTTTAAGTGTTTTACGGCGCTCGCAACTGCATAAGGTCATTTAAGCGCAAACCAGTTGACTGACAGATAATGAAAAATAATGTTTTTCCAATGTAATTCTTTACTACGCCACTAATGTGTAAGATTGTGGTCACCCCATCAAGACTAATTACACATTCATGCTAGACTGTCTTCAACAGAGTGAAGCGTGGGTGGTTGGCGGGTGCTTTGGTGTGGTTTGCTCCTTCTTTCCTATCAAACATCTATCGTCCTTATCTCCCATTCTTCTTTTTTTATGTTTGTCTCTCTCTTGTAACACCTCTAATCTTCTGTCGCTCATATGACCTTAATATTATGCAGTGGCGAGCGCCGTAACACGTCTATTAAAACTAAACTAAGAATGAAGCGAAACATAATTTGAAAGGGCACGTGAAAAACAGGTTAAGCCACAAACAACGCTTATACAACGACTTACCCTATTGTAAACTATTTCATGATGGGCTTATCTAAGTCTTCGCTTGATTTGCTTCGATGAAAATAGAGATCGTGATTACATTAGTTGGGGGCTCTCCTGGCCAAGAGGGTAAGGTGTTGGCCTCTCTTTCAAAGGTCCCGGGTTCGAATCCGGGTAGCACCGAAAAATTTTCTTCTCTAAAAGTGTTTCCTTTCCCCTCCTTTCTTTCAAGCAATGTTCTGGGTTTTTTTGTCTCTTTTTTCTGCCCCTCCTCCCTCACCTCCTTTGCCCTCTCCTCTGGGCTCCTGACTCTTTCTGCAGCCTTTCTACTGCTACTCCTTGGCTCTTTCTTACTACCGTTTTTCTACCACACCCCTGATCTTCTGGTAGGAAAGATCTATACCTAGCCTTCTCGGACAAGGGCGAAATATCTCGGAGAGCCCCGTGTGCAACTTGCGCACGTTAAAGATCCCATGGTGGTCTAAAATCGATAAAAGTTGGCTTCGGCCGCCATCCGGGCAACATTTCCAAATTTCCTACCAACTGAAAATGTTAAGTGTGTCCCGCGCGCTCATATGACCTAATGCAGTTTCGAGCACCGTATAACACTTACCAAAAAAAAAAAAAAATGGCCTTGGTTGTTTGTTTTTTCTTGTTTAATTTCATAGGGATCTTCTACAGGTAGGCCTTCTGTTGTAAATTTATCTAAACATGGACGTATCCTTTTTTACACTTGACCCCTTCATTTAGAAACGGAAAACAAAATTGAGTCGTTTCCTCGATCAGCTGTGGCTTTTGACCACAAACGCTTATCCGTCGTAGTGTGCGGTACCGACATAGATGTAGCAATCTAAAAATGAGATAATTATACGGGTAAAAGTAAAGTAAAGTCCCCGCATCCGATCCGGACATTTGGGGATTGCCGTGTTAGTGAGACAACATCCGGGCCTTCGGCATGTTGTCGTAGGGTGGCCAGTTCCTTTCGACGCCGCCTTTACTTCCCCAACTCGAAGTCAGGTACCCATTACTGCTGGGTGGGCAGGAGGGGACGAAAAAAATCAGTGTCCGAACCGAGGCTCGAACCGTGACTTTCCGCTTCGGAGACGAGCGCACTAACCACTCCGCCACCGCACCATCAATTCTATGGGTACCGATGACAATGAAACCATTGCTCATCTCTTACAATGTACTCGTCTGAAACCTTCCAGTGGTGTCTGTGGTCGAGTGATTGGTGAACTCTGAGTCAAAGATAATCCCAAGTTTACGAAACAGCTTTTAAATGGATGCTCAACGGAGTGAACTTTTGAGTGAGACGGAATAACCGTAGTTGAAAACCCCCCATAGACCTACTATTCCATACCATGAGTTCCTTCTATCTCCGTATCGAGGAATCTGTCTCTCTCTACGCTACGGTAGCCTACGTGTGTGGTCAAGGGGAAAGCCCTTCGATCTGTTCTATCATTCGCTGTTCAACATACCCCTGAAACTACCATCTGGACATATTTATCAAGACAAAGTTTTTTTTAGCAGCTTAAACAATGAAAAGCTGTAGTTGTATCAAACTGTTTTAATTGCATTAACTTCGTGGCCTGTTCTTTATGAAAATGAAATGTGAGGCAGCGTGGTGGAATCAGGCTCTCGTCAATTTTTGGGCATATTGCGTTATTGGTATCATCTTAAAAGCCTGTTCATTTGTCTTGCTTTCAATGAAAAAATTACCCATCAATTTTCAATAGAAGTGGAGATATTTTGGATTGAAGGAGGTGGGGGTCACCTGGTTTAAGAGGTAAAATTAGCGAAAAAATGGCCGCCAAATCTTGGTAAATTCCAAAGCTGGAGAGTTCATAGAAACTGGAAATTTATATTTTTGTGCCTTTATTCAACGTTTTCGGTGAAATCCTCAAAGGAATGTGTTTGTAAATGGACATAAAAGGTCTTGAGCTAAAAACAAAAATTTGATGAAAATTACTAAGCAGGGAGAAAACTGCTGTTTTCTTCGATTTCATTATTTTGACGAGAGCCTGATTCCACCACGCTGCCTCACAAATGTTGATGTTGTACAAAGTAACAGCATCCTACCCCACCCCAAGACCCCCCCCCCAAAAAAAAACAAAAAAAAAAACCAAACAAACAAACAACAACAACAAACCCGCACCCCCCCCCCCCTCTCTACACCCCCACTAGCCTACAAAACAAAATCAGAAACAGAAACACATATGCCATAAAAACAAACCAAAAACCCAAACCAAAACAAGCAAAAACAGAACACACTCAAAGAAAGAAATTGAGATAACCGGACATTGACAGACAAGGTTTTAAAAAAGGCGCCGATTTTCCCCGATATAGATGGCGAATTTCCCTGACAAAATGCGAATTTCCCCGATATGGATGGCGTATTTCCCCGACATAGGGTGGCGAATTTACCCGACATAGGGTGCCGAATTTTCCCGTCAGCATGTAGAACACACAAAAAAAAACAACGATAGAAATAAAATACAGAGCTAAACTATGCCAATCCTTTACAGAAACCCGATTTCTGATTGCTCATGATGAGAGGCTTTCAAGCTTGCTCGTGAGAGAATGATAGCACACAACATAATATCAAAATGGCGATATCTAAATACCTTATCCAAAGTGGCGAAGTTACCCGACTTTACAGGGGAACTTCGCCATGCGGGGAAATTCGCCACCTTCGTATCCCTCCTCACAAAACATGAAACAACCTACCATGACGATTTAAGGACAATTCCACACCTAATCTTTTTCTTAAATTTAAAAAAATAATTCGTTTCTTACAATTCAATTACCACAATTACCAAAGCAATCAAAACTTTGAGAAATAATAATATGACGTCAACACTGACGATTTCATGATCGCTAGTACACATCTAATAGTGTCTTCGTTGTTCACGCTTTTAACTACAAATCTTCTTTCCATAGATCCCACTTTCTTGATCTTGACGCTTTGATTTTAATTGTCGTATGGTATGGTCTGGAATGGTATGGTATAGGGTATGGTATATGGTATGGTGTATGGTATATGGTATATGGTATGGTATATGGTGTGGTATATGGTATGGTATATGGTATGGTAGGGTATGGTAGGGTATGATAATTTATGGTATGGTATGGTAGGGTATGTATGTAATAAGGTATGGTATGGTATGGTGTGGAATGGTGTGGTATGGTATGGTATGATGTGGTATGGTATGGTATGGTATGTTATGGTATGGTATGGTATGGTATGGTTATGACTTAGCCCCTTCACTGCCTGGTGCAAGACTGTCTCAGACTCTTAGTCTTAGTCTTAGGCTTGGTCATGAAGCAGGCTTGAGGGTTGAAGCGGATTCCTTTCTTACATGAACCTCGATGTTTACCAGAACATAATTCTTTGCAGTTGATTTTTAAAAATCTCTACAGATATTTCTGAGCACCATTTCCAATCCAACTCACCACAGTCAGCCTTCAGCCCTCAAATCTCCCTTTACAATGAATAGGCCTGCTCAAGGTATACATCATTCCAATATTTATATTACCGCCTCCCCCCTCACCAACTCCCGCAGCCTCTTCCCTTTACACCCTTTCCCACGAGCCTTGCAGTGAAGGGATTAATAGGAGCCTTTCAACACTGTATAATTGTTGAACAGGCTAAATGTCTAAATTTAATAAATCAGTGCCAGTCTCTGACAGGATAGAGCTAAGAAGGGTGGAGAACCTTGAAAACTCCCAATTCAACCGACGTTTAGGAATGCATTGAGGTTTTTGAACCAGGTTCCCCAGCATCTTAGATCAAGGTGATACCTACCAAGGGGTAGTTAGAAGAAGTTATCCAGCCATTATATTATTTTGATTGTGATATTAAGAGCTGCCTTAAAAGGTCACATAATATTAAGGAACAATTCCGTTTCATATTTTAAGACTCGAAGTGTTGGGGTGTCATTTCTGTACATAAATATATTTATATCTGCCAGTTCGGGCAATACATTATGTATTGTTGTTCAATATGTTAATATGGATTCAATATTGATCGTCGTTTTACTGGCGTTCATAAGCTCTTTGTCCTATCCGGAAAACATTTTTGACCACAGCAAAAGTGATCATTTTGGACACATTAAGAGGCACGATTTAAACAGTTAACCACAACAGCAGTAACCTTGCAAGAACAGACCAACTACAAGTCGCCAGGCTACCCTAGAATTACACAGTTCTATCCGCTCAGTTTTGAGAAATAAATTTGACGTCAAAAGATTATGCGTTTCACAACATGCCAAGCTTTTTCGAACGCAATTCTTTGAATATCTTGATAACGACTCCAAATAATCTTACGATTTTAATAGAGCAGATAAGCGGCCAAAAATGTCAGATAAAACTTTGTATTTCTGAGGGGTGAAGTGTTGGAAATAAAATAACTAACCACAATAAACGAGAAGGATTATGAGTGGGGAATAATTTTTATTTAAGAGGAATACACGTTAAGTTATAGGTGTAGTTACAGTAAAGACTAACCTTTTGTTTCTACACACAATACATCGATATAGGCACGTACTAGTATGTAAGTGAATATCAACATATTTCTATACCTAAAATAATACAGTCGCTTTATATAATGTGAGCAAAGGGAGTATAGAAGTTGATAATTACATGAGCAATACCCCAAACGGTTTTTTTCACACATTTTGCAAAATCCACAAAACATCAAAATCAAATGTTTAGAAAAAAAAAAAGAAAAAAAAAAGAAATAATGCAATATTCCACAGCAGATAATTCACACCTTGCCGTGGTAATTCAAATAAAAAATACATACATACTGTACTTCAATGAACTTCCATAAAACGTTCATAGAGAACATTCAAAATCTACACTTTTTGCATATTATGTGGAACGCCTCTTGGCTACAAATTAAATGCTCGTCAAGCCTCCAATCCCAGAAATGCAAGGTTTGCTCCTCGACGAAATAAATGGGGATACAATTGAACAATTCAACAGCTGAGAGTTCTTTGAACATGTGCACAAAAAGCAGTTGTACAATCATACTTTCATAATTATTTTATACATCTTGACATTCATGGAACTGGAAAACACTGTACATACTTTACAAAAAACAACGACATAATGTATGAATGTAAAATATAAGTTTGAACTCTTTAACAGAGTGACGTACACAACACTAGGATTTAAAAAAAAACCCAACTAGACCAAATTCAACGTTCAACACTTCAACGTCAAAGGTTTGGTTTGATTTCTAAATGTTTTTTAATGAAAGTTAATGAACATCTGAGGCCTCAACAATCGTTTTGCGACCACTGATAAAACCTCTCATTAGCAATGACATAATTCAATTGCATCGTTTAAAACAATCCTTCATGTAGTTTTCAATATAGTTGAGGAACACAGTTAAACCGTTTAATTTTATATGCTCAAAATTATTCAGGAACGGCATGCAAAACGTATTTTTGGTGTGTAGCACACGATCACCCGTTTCTGTAGTTTGTGAAGCAGACGTGGTCAGAAGCTACGGAAAGGGAAGCAACCAGAAAGAGTCAAGATGCGAGGAAACTCTATTATCACGATGATCTCCCCTAGCTCACTATGCACCTGAGTTGTTAAGCACTGGATTATTGTTATGTGAGACATCATGGTGAAATTAGGCGCTCGTCAAAATGGTGAAAATCGAAGACAACGGCATTTTCCCTCCAGTATGGTAATTTTTTTCTAATTTCTGTTTTTTGGCTCAACGCTTTTTATGTCTATTTAAAAACATACTTCTCTACGGATTTTTACTGAAAATCATTAATTAAAGGTACAACAAATGTAAGTTTTCAGTTTCCATGAACTATCAAGCTTTGGAAATCACCTAACTTTGGCGGCCATCTTCTCGCTCATTCACTCTGACACCAGGCGACCCCGACCTCCTTCAACGTAAACATCTCGACTTCTATTCGAGATAGGCGTGTACTTTTTTTTCACCACAAGATGGTCAAATGAACAAGCTTTAAGATGACACCAATAACTTCAGATGTCCAAAAATTAACGAGCGCCTGATTTCACTGCGTCGTGACACATTCATAATTAAGGTTTCATCTTTGATTGTCAACAAGCGATCTTGAAAAGGGTGTAAACGTAACCCAGTTGTTCAACAATGATTTCTCTTACAACCTTATGATAAGGTGAGTGTCAAAAGCAACCATAATATCAACTATTTGTTTGACTGTCAGTTCGGCTGTCTTTCTCTGTCTGTCTGTCTGTATGTTTGTCTGTCTGTCTGTATGTTTGTCTGTCTGTCTGTCTGTCTGTCAATCCCTATGTCCGTCTGTTTGTCTCTCCCTGCATCTTAATTCGTATATTATAAACTTGGATCATACAAAAACCTTCCTTTATAGGTTAAAAGAAGGTCATCGTTTTTTATATATAATTTATTCCTAAGTACACTTTGTGCCCCTTATCAACATCGAGAATTCAAAAACGATGTACAATAAACAACAGCAGCAGCAGCAGTAACAACCACAGCAACAACAGACAAACAAACCAACAACATCGTTTCTTACACAGTGGGTCCAAAACTCTGATATATCTAAATGCATAATTGTGGAAAAATCGGTTAATACCTACTTAGTACTTAGCTAAAACATAGAATACATTGTAATAAAAGTCCTGATCTGTTGATCGCAGTCAACGTTTAGAACAACTTAGGCTACCATAAAATATTCATATCATAATAACGCATGCGCATTGGAAACGACCTCATGGGCATTGTTATATGTTTGCCATTTATATAAACAGTATAAAAACTTAACTGCATCAGTTATTATTTTTTTTCACTCGCTTTCTCTTCATCCACATAGTTTTCTCTGACCCTCAGCCACTCACCTTACATTCACTCTTCACATTTTCATCACACAATTATTTCTCATTTCGTTCCCCTAACCCTCGTTTATTATTGAAGGGGTCAGAAAAATAGACGGTCAACATAGATTTGAATGGACTGTTTGGATGGCTTTTTAAAATTACGTCAGAGTTATGGCCTTTTAAAATCACTTAAACTTGGTAGCACATCATGCTTAAGTCCAGCTGTTTTGCCCCCTATTTTTTCACTTTTATTTTTTTTTCTCATCTCAAAATGTCAAGGTGACATAGACCTTTTATTGTTCTGACCCCTTCACTTTGTAAGTTCAATCATTTCTAACAATCTTTGAGCTCTGCAATGTACTATGTAGGTAAACTAGAAAGTGGACCCCCCCCCCCCCTCTCCTTTTCTTAAAATAACGAATATTTGAGTTGATAATGAATGCACGAATATAATATGAGCTTCTCAGCTCGTTTGTCAGTCAGATTGTGAGCAAAAATACGTGATTGTGAGGCATATTATTAGCAAAGAAGCTAAATTAATGTTTATTGGTCAGTGGAAAAGATCGTTGTTCAGTCATATTTAGAAAGACACATCGTGAAAAGTCATATCTAACGCAAACAAAATAGAGTTAGAACGTGTATAAAAATGTTATTTCAACGTTTGAAAATCGTCTACTCATCTAGTAACAGCTCGTAAATACCATTCCCAAAATGTTTCTACAGATACTACTGTACGGGGCTAGCTAACCTTTAAAGAAATCACGTAACTTTCTTTTCTCACACAGCTACGTCACAGTTGGTATGGATCAGACTTCGGTCGTTTTGGAGGTCCCATTGTCTTATCAACTCAAATACTAGTAAATAGAGTGTTAATTACATTGAACACAACGTTTGTCGCGAGTTAGAGCCTCTTACGTCACAGGTATGAGGGTGTCTTCTGAAAAAGCACTTTACAAACACATTATAAACATTTGCATTAAGGCACACTATCAATATTTATTGTAACAGAACGAATCATAAATTGATGGTGCCACGAAGAGGGGGGGGGGGGGGGGGGGTGAGAGGTGAAGGAATAAAAGAATAAAAGGACGTATCAAATGATGGATAACTGAAAAACAACGCATGGCTAAGCGAATGAGCGAATGAGCGAATGAGCGAATGTATGAATGAATATGAATAGGTACACGAATGAAAGAACGAATCAGTGAACGAACATTACAAACTGTGAAAAGGTGTATCTAAGGTGTGAAAAATTAATTCAATAGATACTGACATGCATAGTTTGAGAATACATTTCATTATGAATCTATTTGTGTATAAAAGTTCATCTTTGGGGGAATGGGAGGCGGATGGGTGGGCGTTGTGTGAGGGTTACGGAATTGGGTGGGGTTGGTTGGAGGTTGGGGGCGAGGGTGGGGTGGCGAGAATGAGTGGTATATATGGATTCAAAATTTAAAAAATAAATCTTTTTGGTCATAAAATGAAATGAGAGGATGTGTTTTTAGAAGATCGCAATAACTTGTGCCATTCTTGTCAGGATTCTTTGGCTTTTCTAGATATAATATAGATGTCTGCTGGTGACGGTCAATTATAGCTGGATCAGTGCTAGTCGTATTTTCTATTGTATTGGCGAACTCATTGAGCCAACACGGGCACTCACACCTCATGATTTGAACGTTGTGCACACCATCCCCCCAAACACATAGAGAAACCTACCATGATATCGCCCCCCTCCCCCCCCCCCCCCCCCCCCCCAATTTTCCCCTCATATAACTTCTTGTTGTTTGAAGTCGACCCGGTGCGTCGTTTAGCGTCTGAATTGTTTGATGCTAGGCCCTATTCCAAAGGAAGAGTCGACATTTTACTATGCCTCAAAGCCACGTTGAGGGGACGAGACTAGCAATTTTGGCAGCCGCATAGTAAGCACACATTTTAAGATGCACAAAGAGGTTGAAGATGGTGAGGTTGGGAGGGGGGGGGAGGAGGAAAGGGCAACAGACAAGTCATTAAGTCCTTAATACTTAGGTGTTATAACGACACTGAACAGTAGCGTTCTATTTCGTATTTTCTTAGTATCGCCATGGACCCTATAGATTGTTCTCACCAGCATTTTTTTTCTATATATAGGATATTATGTCGTTGTAGTTTTCTTGTTGGATTATAATGTGTTCCCAAAGGCACATATTATATTTCAATGTCGAATGACTAGGTTGAAGTATGTTCGCATGTCCAACAGACAGTTCTCAGCAGAGTTTTAAGGAAGAATAAAAGAAATTTCTAGTTCTCATAACATTTCGTCGTTGAATCTCCAGATATCAGTTCAGCACGAAGTTACTAGTTTTCACATTCTCACTTTAACTTTCAGGACAGTTGAAGCTCAACAACCTCCATAACACAGGTAGACAAATCAGCAATCAGTTACTGGTGGAAACCATCAGTATAACATCTCTAAAGACGGACCCTGGTGAGGAGGGCGAGGAGTTATGAGTAGATCCACTTTGTGAAGACTACAGTTCTGGAATCAAGTTATCAAGTAACCTTTAAGTACTGTGTGGAATACCGATACCATAGGGTTTTCGATTTCAGTTAAAGGCTTGGGGTATGCACACCATCAATCTTTGACACCTTCAATCTTTGACGTCATCAATCTTTGACACCATCACTCTTTGACGCCTTACAATCTTTGACGCCATACAATCTTTGACGTCATACAATCTTTGACGTCATACAATCTTTGACGTCATACAATCTTTGACGCCATACAATCTTTGACGTCATTAATCTTTAACGCCATACAACAAAAGAATGAGCAGGTCAGCCACACGAGGCGCACGACCATCGGCAGAAGACTGAGCTGATGAGCACATTTCTCTGACAGGAGCCCAGCTTGGCCCAATACTGGCAGCTTTTGGCGTGCTTGGGGTCATCTTGGCACTCCTCCGCCGGACCTGGGGAGAGGGAGCGAGAGAGAGAGAGAGCAATACACGATTAGTTGTCGTTTTAGTAAGGGCAACACAAACACGCCATATATACGAGTCGAAGATTAGAAGTGTCACTAGAGAGGCATGATATTGTATGGTATGGTATGGTGCGGTATGGTATGGTTTGGTATGGTATGGTATGGTATGGTACGGTATAGTATCGTATGTTATGGTATGGTACGGTATGGCATGGTATGGTATGGTATGGTATGGTATGGTATGGTATGGTATGGTATGGTATGGTATGGTGTGAGCATTATACAAACAGAGTTAACGGTTGCAGCAAACGATTAAACATTTAAATAAACGTACACTGGCGAGGTAACGGTCATTATATGCGAGGAAAAGAGCGTGAAAAAACAATTAAAAACATGGCCCTTGGTGGAAGAAATGGGGGAAGGTAAGAAATGGGTTTTCGAGAGAATAGGGACACCCATCACTCTTCAATAAACGAATTGAACAAGACATGTGTATATTCGCACAAAAATTTGCCAGATCCACATTCCACTTGTGCGACTATGCTCATATTACAGCAGGTAATCGCACACGTACTCACATGCATTTGTATGTGTAATCCAATAAAGGTCTTTGCATTGAACCCCCCCCCCTTCTTCCATCTCTCTATCTCTCTCTCTCTCTTTCTATCTCTCTCTTTCTATCTCTCTCTCTCTTTCTCTCTCTCTTTCTCTCTCTCTCTCTCTTTCTATCTCTCTCTCTCTCTCTTTCTCTCTTTTTTCTCTCTCTTTCATTTCCTCCTTGTCAAAGTATGCGTATTTCTCTGTCTCCCCCCTCTCTCTCTCTTCCTCTCTCTCTTTCACTTTCTCCCTATTCCACTCCCAAATATGTGTATTTCTCTGTCTGTTTTTCTATCCCACCCCCTCTCTCTTTTTCATTTTTTAACTTGTGCTTCTCCCAAGTATATGTGTTTCTTTGTCTGTCTCTCTCCTCTCTCACCCCCACTCTCTCTCTCTTTCTCTCTCTCTCTCTCACTTTCTCTCTTTCTTTCCCAACAATATTTTCCTTTGCCCCGTCAGTCTCACTCTGTATGATGCCTCTTGATCTATCACCTTCGTCTCGCTATCAGTGATTACTTGATTACTACCACTCGCACCATTAGTAAAACCTTTTGGGTAAAACATTCCGTCTGCCAGGTACGTATGTCAATCTTCCCGCCCGCGACTTTCTTCTGCATGCCAGTTGGGCTGACATGACCTTGGAAAATACGCGTACTACACTCTCGTCCCGAGAAACCCTGGCAATTTGACAACTGGCACAACCTCCTCGCTTTGGCAGAGCCAATATCTCTCTATCTACTATCTACACGCCAAAGACGATATCGCGTGTAATTACAAATTAGCAAAGAAAGCATACGTCAAGAAGGTTCATCGTTTGAAGAAAAAAGTGCACCCAAGAATCAAAGCGAACGTATAAGACAACACTGCCAAAGGCACGGATAAAAAGGTTATGTTTCAGTTCTGGGGAAAAAGTTCTTTTAGAATGATTCTTGCCCTTACTCTTTGTATCCAGAATAATGTGCCAGACAGCAAAGAATTGAATCATGCGTGCAATTGTACATGTGCTAACGATTTCAAAAGTAGCCTACTTTACGTCTTCGGTACCAATTACACGTTTTGTTTTATAAATATTGTATCTCATCACTTGTTCTCCATCCATTCATCCATCCACCATCCGTTCAAAGATACACACACACACACACACACACACA